GCCGCTCCCAGCCCTGCTTTGGCCGCCTGCCTGGATCTCCACCGGGACAGCCCCGCTGCCCCCGCCACACGCCCACATCTCCATGGGACAGCCCCAGTCCTGCTTTCGCCGCTTGGATCTCCGCGGGACAGCCCCGCTGCCCCCAACCCTGCTTCCTGGTGGCTGGTTCCCCCCCTCCCCCCTCTCCTCCCAGCCTGCCCCACTGTGCTCCCCTCCCGGCAGCCATGCTGAGGACTGGTATTTTTTTCCTGCGGCCCAGTACCAGGCTGCAGCCCATAGTTTGGGAAACTCTGTCCTAGGGCTTCTGTGCTGAGACATACAGGGTTTGACTCTTGCTGCCTGCAGCACAGAGGGAAACAAGTTAAGACACCCCAAACTCCCCTCTCTCCCCACCTCACTGCACAGACACCAGCACTGCCCCCCGCATTTCCCCACCTACCCCATGCAGTCTGCTGCCTCTCTCCCAGACCAGGAAGCTAGGGGAGCATACTGGGTTTCCTCATAGGAAGCTGCAGGCAAACATAGCTGCTGTAATCAAACCTCTCCTCTCCCATACTTACTGCATGTTCCAAACTCCCCTCCCCTCTGGCCCCCTCTGTCCAAGACACATAATGGCTATGTCTACACTGGCAGCTTCTTGTGCAAGTAAATTTACAGTATAGTCTTGTAAAACAGGGCTTCTTCCAGAAGTGTTATTCCTCTCCCCACGAGGAATAAGCCCTCTTGTGTAAGAGCTCTTCCAGAAGAAGGCAGTGTAGACAGGCAACATGAATTTCTTGTGCAAGAAGCCCCTATGGCTAAAATGGCCATCAGGGCATTCTTGCTCAAGAGAGCATCCACACTGCCGTGGATGCACTTGCACAAAAGCACATCTCTTGCGCAAAAGCACATGGCAGCGTGGACACTCTCTTGTGGAAGATTTTTTGCACAAGATCTCTTCCGAAAAACAGTTCTTGCACAAGAAGCTGCCAGTGTAGACGTAGCCATATAGTACTTCCTCCTTATGTCCCCTTCCTTACCAGCACACCCAGCTCGTTGTCTGGAGCAAGGAGCTTCTGCTGCTGCGTCAGTGCCCCTCCCCAGCCAAGAAGCTCTCAACTAGCTGCTGTACAGCTTACAGGGGACTTAGATTCCTGCAGAGCCAATCATCAAGGCATGGGTGTGGCTTGGCAGTGTGCTGGCAGTTGGGAACCGCTGTTCTGACTGTAAACTCTTTGGGGACAAAGAATATGACTTGTTCTGTGTCTTGTAAAAAGCAATGCACATTTATCTGCAATGTTCTTCACATGGTTAGCTTGACTGGACCATGTCTGAATGCAATTACTCAGGCAAAACCCCTCTGGATTCCATACAGTGTCCAATTCAGAATAAGGACTGGAAAAGGCCTTCAGGATGTAATGCATTAATAGTCATCTTGTAAAATGTAATGGGTCAGAGATTGATTAAAGCATCCACACTCCCTGGCTGGTAAGGTACTCGCATAGCTGTAGTTTGACTGCTATATTTGGGACAGGCCAACCACACTTATTCACATGCATGCTGAAGCCAGTGCCTTTAGCTCTTTCCCCCCCTTCAGTGGTACCAGGCTGGGAAGGGTAATGGGAGCGCCCCACCTGCTTCTGGGGACCACTCCAGCACTGACTGCTGCAGCAATGTTCCTGTTCTGGTGCTGCTGCGGTCGCCTCTCTGTGGGGGCTGCTGCTGTCCAGGGAATGCCACATGCTGGGTGTGACATTTTCTGATTATAATAGGACCATACAAAATTACTGATGATATTGTTATAGCTGCAACAAATCCTGTGTCAAGCAGGACACAGGCAGAAAGGGTTAAACCATCCTAGGCCAAATGACCCGAGTCAACCTGTAGAGGTATGTGAGAAAAGTATGCAAATGGTAATTAAGAGGGTTAAACCATCCTAGGCCAAATGACCCGAGTCAACCTGTAGAGGTATGTGAGAAAAGTATGCGAAAAGTAATTCAGTGCTAGCTACACTAGAGCTTTGAAATGTAATTCTAGTTATACGTATTTACTTATATCTTATAGATGCTAACCATGTAAAAAGGCATTTCCTGTCTCTCTCTATAGCTGTTGATTCAGAGATCAAAAAGAGAATATTAACATTTAGGTGAATCTTGGGTGAGCTAAAGTCACTGTCAAGATATCTCTTTAAAGTGTGTGATAAACTGCTAAATGGATACATTACCTTATGTTAATTACCTTATGTTTAATGACCATGAGGTAGTATCAAAAGACTATTGTTTTTCCCCAGGCTAAGAGGCTGCTGCAAATGTATGAAGAACCTTGAGTCCTGACCCTTTTTGTCTCCTATCTGCTTGGATGCTCCTGGGGAAAGCTGCAAGCCATAAGAAATGAGATCCCAGGATACGCTAATGCCCCTTTAATGAACATTGACTTAGGTTCTCAGATCTGATGGAGGTTTCATATTAGGGGAAACCTCGGTCATAAGGACTGAGGTCCCAGTTACTAGCAGAAGTCACCCTGGATATGGATTTTGGACCATAACCATGGATTAAATTCTAAAAGAACTTTTTGAATCTACAAGATCACCATCTCTGTTATGTAACTGAATCTCAAGAACTGAACTTAGGTCTGTATGCACACTGATCTCTCAACCAATGCTCTCTCTTTTTTCATTATTAATACATTTTAGTTTAGGTGCAGGCCCATATGTAGGAATTTCTGGGTGTCTGTGTCCTTTTTTGTAAATGTGGACTGGAAGGGTGTGAACACACCGTCCATGGTCCTGCAAGTAAGCATGGCCCAGATGGCTGGGGAAAGGCAGGGGCTGATGCCCCCACAGCAGGAGCAAGGCCCAGCCCTGTCCCCAGCTTCGCTCCTGGGGGAAAGGAGAGGGGAATCAGCCCCAGACTTCCGCCCACCAGCCAGAGCACACTTACTTGGAGGACCCCATGAGGGGTGCATTTGCACTCTTCGCACCCCTCCCCCCACATCTACAGGCCTAGGGAGATCCCCAAACCCCAATCATACTAACACTAGTGTGACCCAAAGAGGTAAATTGTGGAGCTAGGTTCTGCCCAAGGAGCACTGCAGCCAGCTCTGACTCCCTGCAAGGCAAGAGGGGGCTGAAGCACACGCTGGCTGTGTCTAGACTGGCCAGTTTTTCCGGAAAAATCAGCCGCTTTTCCGGAAAAACTTGCCAGCTGTCTACACTGGCCACTTGAATTTCCACAAAAGCACTGACTTCCTACTGTAAGAAATCAGTGCTTCTTGCGGAAATACTATTCTGCTCCCCTTCAGACAAAAGTCCCTTTTGCGCAAAGCTTTTGCGCAAAAGGGCCAGTGTAGACAGCTCAGATTTATTTTCCTCAAAAAAGCCCCGATCGTGAAAATGGCAATCGGGGCTTTTTTGCGGAAAAGCGCGTCTAGATTGGCACGGACGCTTTTCCGCAAGAAGTGCTTTTGCGGAAAAGCGTCCATGCCAATCTAGATGCTCTGTTCCAAAAATGCTTTTAACGGAAAAGTTTTCTGTTAAAAGCATTTCTGGAAAATCATGCCAATCGAGACGCAGTCGTTGTGTTTGTGTGATTGTTGGCTTCCCAGGTAGCTTGGCAGAGACCCGGAGCACTCATTACACAGGTGGGACTCACTCATTAGAATGCCACACTATCAACAGACAAAGTCCCCTTCCTGGAAGCATGTGAGGTTTAACTGGCTCCCACCTCTCACCTCTTTGGTGAGGGGAACCTGGGATCTCTGGCTGCCCATCAATCTTGGGCTGGTGCCTTGGGGAGAAAGCAGCCCACACAGGCCAGAAATTAGCTTCTGCCAGGCTGGGGACTGTTATAAGCTTGGCTTTTAGTTCAGGCCAGTTTCTAGGAGCTAGCTCAGGCCTTGGGTTGCAGTGTAGGACCACTGTCCTCATTTCAGAGCTGGGACAGCTGAGCCACTGGGGCTGTGGGCCTTGCCCAAGGCCACCAAGGAAGTCAGTGGCAGAGCTGGAAAGAGCCTTTGGGAATCCAGATGTTTCTGTTCTGACTATCAAACCCCATTTCCCTGCCAGAGCTAGGACTAGGACCCAGGAATCCGGCTCCCATCCCCCCTTGCTCTATTTAAACTCCACTCCCCTGGCAGCGCTAGGAATAGGCTCTGGCCATCCTAACACCTCCTCCTTCCAGCTCTAACCAAAGATACCCGTAAGGTTGGGTAGTGAAGGACGTGGTCCCCTCCTGTTTCAGCATTAGCCAGGGATAGCTGCAGCCCCAGAAGGCCCAGGTAAAAACAGTCCATTAATGTCCCTGCTGGAGGCAGCCCCTCTACCCCAAGGGAGAGAGGGAGGCTTCAGGTACAGAAATTCTGTTGTCCAGCTTATGAGAATTTGACATGAAAACAGGGTGCTGGAACCAGCAGCAGGCAGCCAGGCTGTGCTGTGTAATGGCGCCTGTGTTGGCGGAGCAAAGCCATGGCCTTTGATTGCATTTCCCTTGTGGGGAGTGACTGGGACCCTGGCCCTTATCCCCTCTGTCAGGCAGCAAGTGTCTAGCGGTCAGAGTAGCGGAGTAGGAGTTGGGCCTCCTTGGCCTACGCGTAACACCAGCACTGTCTTGTTGTCATGGTCTTTAGCAGCTCTCTGCGGACCCAGTTGGCAGACTTCAGCACTCCCGTTGGGAGCATTTGAAAAATCAGGCTGTTAGCCTCTGTGTGGCTCAATTTCCCCCTCTTTATAGCGGGGGTCGTGACGGCTCTCTCCCTTGTACAGTGCTTTGTAATCCTTAGGTGGGCACAATTGCTCTTTCCTCTGGTAAGGGATGGGTCCCTGAAATCCCCACAGGTAACAGGGTGCCCTTTTGAAAAAGCAGCGTCCCATGTGCATGGAATTCCCCCACAAGGCACAGACAGGGAATGTCCACATGGGCCACCCTGCCGTTTTGGGCACACTAGCATAAGCAGGGGCTGCCGGTGTTTGTCCACCCACATGCAGCAGCTGGAGCCCAGTGGCAGGGAGCCCTACCCAAATCTCCATCCACCCTGCTGTGAGCTTCCTATGGGCCAGGCCTAGACCCCTGGACAATTGCCCTCTTTGCCTCCCTCCACCATTGGCAAGCCTGCCCCCAATCTATACCTATGAAGCTACTCCCTCTGGTTTGAGATAGCGTCGGACCAGTCCATTTGGCATCTGCAGCTCTCGTGCGGTTACAATGAGCTGCACAAGGACAGCCGAAGTAATTATAGACTTGGCAGGAGATGGCCAGCATCAACGCTGCAGTCTCATGTCTCCATAAACCATCCTGGGCAATGGGACCGATGGAATGTGCACGGGAACACATTTGCCATAGGGATGAGACATTTTCTAAAGCAGCAGCATATGGCGAAGCTCCTGCTCTTTTGATCTAGAAAGCAAAGTGTCCTCCTGTCATGTGCTCTTTCTTTTGAAGTTATTTGGCACTGGTGCATGAGTTGGCATCTTGCCTCCAGCAAGGCTTTGAGGAGCTCTCTCTTGGCCACTTTCTCTCTCTCCTCACTTTTTGGTTCCCTTTTTTTCTATGACCTTTAATTCATAAAAGTTTCACTTGCCTCTGAGTCTTTGCTATCTCATGTGTCTGTGGTGTGCTGGAAAGATCCCCTCTGTGTTTACAACAAGGCCTTAGCAACACAGAGTCCATTCCAGTCTGTACACAGAACAGTGCATGCAGGGATTGTAATGGAAAAAAGAAAGCTTTGAACGGCTTCATCAATGGATCAAATCTAGATCAAGTTGGTACTGAAAGTTGTCACCCTCTCTCAGCTGTCTGGGGAGCACGCCAGCTATCTTTGCTGGTCTCAGTCCAAGTCCCAATAGACAGGCATTGCAGCACACACAAAAAACACCACGACTGCTCAACATTTGGCTGTCACAGCAGAGAAGTTCATGGGAATTGACCCACCCTCGCCTTCACAATCAATAGATCATCTCTCCGGACATCAGGGTCCAAGCAGTGTGGGCTGGCTTGCTATTCTTGGATAGGCAGATGACTCTAGCCTCCCTCGCTCTCAGTCTGGTCCCTTTCACTAAGAACCAGTACACACTGGGGCTGTGTCTACATTGGCACCCTTTTCCGGAAA